ATCTGCCTGAGGTCAAGATGTTACAACAAAACCCTATGTGTCATCATCATCATCTCAGTCTGTGTAATTCTGAAGTCACTACTAATGTTTCCACTGATTGCTTTTAAACTGCAGACAGACTGGGGAAAAAAAACACCAAATAACCTAGCACACCTTTCAAACATTGGGGTGAGGCAAGCAACAGTGAACACAGGTTCAGACACAGAACTTATGAACCTTTTTTTTTCCCCCCTAAAAACTTCAGAAATGAAAACACGAATGGGGAAACACTTATGTTAGTGATGTTTGACAAAAGACATGATATTGGTTCAGTAACCTAAACATGCTCTAATAATCAAACTCTGTAAGTGACCGTAGTCACTCATTTTTTTAAAAAACAAAGCCTTTATCCATAACTTATTAACCATGCCATAAAACCAGTATTACAATGCTATTCCCTTCTTATCCCTACAAAACTATAATGTGATTGAAAGGGAAATCCCTTGAACAGATCTCTTCTTTCTAAGTTTTGCCCATTATGTACCTCCAAAGCCAAGGCTGTCTTGTCGTAGGCATTAGGGACTCGCTTCTGGATAACCCGGGCATAAATAGGGCCATTCTGAAGGTTAGGGAGCGGAGTGTTGATGCTGGGCTGGGCATAGGGCCCTGGCTCCGGCCCACGCAGTGGCTGTGGGTGGGAACTATCCTGGTTACCTCCAATCAGAGTAGAAACTGAAGCAGAGGAAGGTCTATACTTCTCGACGTAAGGAACAGGTATCATTCCCCTCTTTCCTTCGCTGTCTTCTGCATTCCACCATTGCTCTTCAGGTTTATCCCGGATTCTTAGTATGTCTCCTTTCTTAAATGGAAGATCTTCTTCATCATTTCCATTAAAGTCAAAGAGAGCTCGCACATACTCAGCTTCTTCCTGCCTGAGGATAACGCCACTATTCTGCCTGGACCGGGAAACTGGTTCTATCAAAGTTGTAGTGTCCAAATAGTGTATTTTGTAGAATTCCAGTAAAGATGGCAAAGAATCAAACTCTTGGTCACCTATTCGAAATCTGGTGGGATTCAACCCTGAAAGAAGAAGGCAATATGTCAAAGACAGCAAACAACACTTAAAACTATAAATTAAACATCTGAGAAGACAAATACATTTACAGATAAGTAGTTCCATACTGAATTTGGTCATCTTTAGATTAACAGTCATCATATTCAGCTCTTCTGTGTATTTCTCAAAGACAGCACCATCATGATCGTGAGGACAGAGTTTAGTTTTTAAAGATTTTGTCAAAGAAGAAAAAAAAAATTGTTTGGCACAGCCAAACTTCTCAAATTAGGACAAAAATAACTTGCTTCCTTGAATGTTATATGGACCCAACAAATAGAAACGTACAGTACATCTGAGTTTCTCAGGAGCCTACACAATTTTCAGTAACAGACAATTCCCTTTTTCCTGTTTTATACTCGAAATCTAGAAAGCAAGTGAAATTTTGGTACAGTGTCAAGGAAGTGATTTGTTTTTTAAACTCTATTTTGCAGTTCTAAGTTATTTCAAACAGACAACACTGCAATAATGGTTATTTACCTGTTGTAATGTATCTTGGGTTAAAAGCATGGACACTACAGAAAACTGCTTAGCACAGCAGCAAACAATTTCTGTGAATGAGCAAATGAAGTTATTTTTCATTTTGATAAAAGGTACCATTAGTGAAATTCCATATATTTTACGCAATACAAAGCAACAACATATGTTTTCATAATGGGTATAATTCAGTCTTTTAATCTCAAGTCGTGTAGTTTCTTCGCCATATTCATCAGATGGAGCCTAAGATATTAATCTGAACCTCAAATTAACATACAAGCAATGTTGATATTTGAGTCATTAGAAGTATCAAAGTGCAGATACCCATTTCAGTTGCAATCTGTGCTGCATTTTTTTTTCCATGTTCTTCAGGCTCAGCTAGGAAAAAAAAGGCATGATGTTCTATTTCCACTAGGCACCATTCACTGTGTAATCAGTTATGGGAAGAATTGTGGAAGGCTGGGGGAGGGTAGTGGAGAGGAAAAGATTTATGCTTTAATGAGTAACTCTTTTAGCAAGAAAGAGATGCTTACTTTGCAAGTCTGTTTCTCTGCAGGGAATATCTAACAGTGCCGAGACTTAGCTCTCGAGTACAAAGCTAGCAGAATTCTTCAAGCTGTCACTGCTCCAAAACTCCCTTCAAAGTAGCACTGTCAGCATGGAAAGCTAACATTACAAGAAGTACTTTCAAGAGAGCAAAAAGGGGTTCTAATACAGAAAAGGGCAGATTCAATAAGATCAACATAGACAACCACCCGATAAATAAGTTTTGAAGTATCCTGAAGGAACATAAACATCAGTGAAGCTGGTTACAGGAAATTCAAAGCAGCAGAACTAAGTCATCGGAAAATGCACATTTGCATGCATTAACAGCCCTGAATGACTTTCAGAAGAAATCAGCACAAATGCAAGAGCCAGAAAACAAAAGCAATACCCTCAACAATTACAAAAACCAAAACAGAAATTGGCATCACCAGGAGATAAGGAAGCTAATGCACGTATCAGTAAGAAATATGAACCCTGCACGGAAAGAGAAGATTCCACCTTATTCTGCCAAATCATAATGCTGAAAAGCTGCAAAACCCCACCAACTTTTGTTGACGAGATGTAACTTACAGCTTTTGACTTAGTAAGAACTCTGGAATTTCACCTCAGTGGCAGTTCTTAGCTCTGTGGTCTCACAGGAGATGACTTCTGGCTGGACAGGCAGCATCCCTAGAGCTCTTCAAGACAGCTTAAGTCCACTACATAAGCATATAATCTGATCTGGGAATGCTGCACTTCCGCTAGCATTGGAAGTGGGAAACCATGCTTTGTAACAAGTGGTATAGACATCAAGTTTTAGACAAACCTGATGACAGAAACATAAGCGTGTATATGCCACTATTTTAGATGTGAGCCTTTTAAGGATCAAGGCTATGTAGACACTTACGTCAAAAGAAAAAGTCATAGAAATTTTAAGAGGGCCAGGGCAGCAAACATCTTTGAAGTCATATGGAGAAAACTGAATCTCAGGTAAATTCACTGACACGAAACTTATTTTATGACAGAAATCTAGAGCATGAAACACTAATTTGCCTCTGTATAACCTGCTACAAACTGACTCAGTCATGAGGCTGAGTGTCTCCAGCAAAGTAAGCGTACACAAAATCTTAAAACTCATAGGAAATGAGCAGTTCAACAGTAACATTTATCAGCCTTGTCAGCACCAAATCATCACTAGGATGAACAAGTTGTTTTGAGGTGTGTTTTTTTTTCTTTTTTTTTTGTTCTTTTGAACAGGATCAGCCTCTTGAATTAATGCATAACAGCTTGAAATAACTGCCAAATGTACCTGAATAAAATCGAAGTTGGACTCTAGGAGGAAAGTCCACTGGAACCTTTTGTATGGGGAAGGAACGACTGAAATCAGTGTACTGTATCCTGGAACATCATATTCTGAAAGGCATTTTGCACAACTGAAGTGTGAGAGAACACAGACCCTCCAAATACATTCTTGTATCAGAAAGATCAATGCAATCCTTGAATGGACAAACAGATACGCAGCAGAAAGAAGAGACATTATCTTCACAAAAGTGAACGCTTCCAGAATACCACATGCACTTCTGATGCTCTTGTTTAAAAAAAAAAAAAAAAAAAACGAAAACCCAAAGGCAGCTACAAAAATCGAAGGCCTGGACAATCTCTTTGAAAGAAGAAATCTACAAGCTTAATCCAAATTAATCACCCAAGAATATAAAGGCGGCAACCTGGTCACTCTCTAGAGAACTTACACAGACGACTTCTAAATTCCGCTCAAATAGGCATAAAAGGACAAAATAGTTGAAAGTCGCAGGTAGGAGATAAAATACAACTCCATCTTACCAAGCAGGCAGTAAACTCTCCATCAGTTTAATGTATACTCTTGTTCAGCTACAAGGTATTGAGCTGAATGATGCTCACTTCTGTAGCGGGAAATAATTCTATTCACTACAGGCTTTAAAGTTTTGTCATTCCCTGATACAAAGAAATTCAGAGATTAACAGATTTCAGGCTCAGAGGAATTCTTCAGCTTCTTGTTTGAACTGCCACACTTCTCATATATGTAGGCCAATGCAAAAATTAAGGCAAGATCTACCACAAGAAAAAGTTACAGCAACAAGGCAGGTGTTTTTTTGAGAAGTAGAGCTGATCTCCTTCATCATTCTTGGACAGTTTTCTTGAATGCACAAGTTTCAGCGGCACATTGTCCACATGTTCTGAGGGATCTCAGGAAGAGCAGAAGGCGTGTAAAGGTAAATCTAGCTACTGGAGGAACTTTAGTCACTTCCTACTAAAGCTGGACAACCGGAGTACTAGAAATTATCTTCCCTTCTGCCCAGCCGAAGGAAGAATAGCTGTTCAGCTTGCACCTCTACCAACAGCACTACTCAGCTCTGCAATACGATTCCTTTGAAGGAGAAACACAAAGGGCTGAGTGTCATCTTTCATACTTCTTCCATCCTAGCTCCATCTGTGCTAGGATTTAACCCGATTCCACCCCTTGCAGCATGTCAGAACAGCTAATGAAACATCTGCTCTCAGGAAAGTGAGGCAAGAGTTACAATCCAAAGTGTCCTAGAATTAAAGACAGTTTCAGGTCTGGACCCTGTCAGTTCTCTGTTTATGACACACATTCCCTCCTGACAAAACACTTTCATGCTGTGTTGGCTTCATGTCAGTCTGGAAAAGATTGCTTATCTATGTCATATATTATACAGATTCTGGGGAAGTATACACCACCTAACATTCTACTTATTGAGAGTGTGGGCAGGTGGCGTAACCACAAGCAACTTCTCACTTCCTGGGACATCTCAGGGGTTTTACGTTTCTCTCTTCACTCCAATTGTGTTAGTGCCACTAGACTATTGGTAAGCTTTCTTTTTTGGGGCAGGGAAGACCTCACAGAAATACAGGTTTTCATTTATGTTTCTAGATCTAGTCTGTACGGGTGCCCCCCTCCTCCTCCTCAACTTATAAAGCATGTTTTGGGCAAGAAAAGCTGTTCTTATCATGCACGGTAGTGAGACACAAGGCTCTCATTTCCAAGTAAGACATCACAGTGATGTAAACCAGCTTTCTCCCGGAGCATATGGGAACTCTGCTATGAGGCCATCACATTCCAGCCTGTGTGTTTCCCCAACCCCCACAGGGACACCTTTTTTCCTTGTTCTTAAGTACCTCCCCACTCGTGCCTGAGCAAAACAAATAAGCACCCATAAACACCCCTTAAAACCAGTAAAATCCCATTCATTGACTCTTTAGAAAAGCTCTAAGCACACCATGAGAATATTCTTACAGAAGTTACGTACTGTCATTTCTGCAGATAATCAGAGGATGAGAGAAAAGTAGAGGTCTAATGCATACGCTTTCCAAGCTTCCAATACTTTGCATTTTAAGACCTTAATATAAAAAAAAAAAACCAACAGAACACAAAACTGAAGTGTCAAGAGTTAAATCATAGTGCTCACACATACCTGAAGCCATTCCATATACAGCCGAGTATGGATATCATTATGTAAAGATTACATGGTTCCAGGAAGTACAGTCTGAATTTTTTAAAATCACAATGGAAGTGATTTAGAAGCGGAAGTTAAGCAGCATGTTCTTAAGACGCATAATAGTGAAAACACCACCTTCTACACAATATTTGTCATAGTTTCCCACTTTAGGGAGACAAATTTTACAATGCTAAGGTTTCTGGCTTTATTACACTGTGCTTTCGATACAAAGTGTACCTTTCTTTAGGTATTTTAGGCATTTTGTTTCAGTGCGTATCATACATTTTTACCCTGGACTCATATGTCAAATTGCAAACATATGACATATTTAAGTATTTCCTCTGTTGTCCATTGCTATGCTAATGCCTGCATGGAGTACTTTGTCTTGTTTAGGATTTCTTTAGCCTGTGACCATGATGTTTGATCACAAATGATACCCTAATTCCAAATCAGTTGTTAATCTCCATCTCTACTTGAAACAGAGTGCTTTTCTTTCCCATAATTCTGTGATTTATCCTTTTTTCTTTTAACAACCTGAAAACATTTCAGGAAGACGTAGCTATTTTGAGAAAGTTCCATTAAATTCTTTTTTCCTTGTGCTGAAAAACAGCCTGCAAGAAGTTAGAAACTGCAGCATATCAGGCAAAAGGTGAATGTAACAAAAAGTTAGCAAGTTTATTTTATACTTTAGAAATGCAAGAAAGTACCACATTTCTGTGACACTGTGGCTTTTTTATATTAGGGTAGCCAAAGCTCCTCATTCATTATGAAGCTAGGTTCCTAGTATCCTCCACACACAGCAGCATTTAAACAGTCAGGAACTGCACACACCCTTACCGAGACCAATAAAAATTAACCTAAGGACCTGATCTGGCATACTCAGATTTCCCAGTGAGAAGTGTGCATTTGCCAATCAATTGCTAAAAAAACACTATACAATACAATTAATAAAGTTGTTCTTCCTCATGTTTTAGCTTGACCACAACAAATAAGCATGACAATTTGAAAACATTTACCTCATTTTACTGCATTAGTTTCCCTATCCAAATGTGAAATCATCTTCAACCTTCTACCAATGTTTTCATCTCCCTCCCATTGCAGAACATCCCCCCACTTATTTTCACTGAAAGAAAAACTTAATTACACTCTAAGTGTAATTTAATATATACACACACCCCCGCACCTTCTTTGGTTTGAGTGTGAAAAGA